CAAAAAAAAAAGCAACAAACAATAAAGAATTCACGAACAAAAACCCAAACAAATCGCCCCACGACCTACCAAACCCCTGGCCTCTCCTGCTGGAAAAGGAGGCAGCGCGGCCCCGGGGGACAAGCGCCCAGGGCAGCCTGGGTGCCGGCGCGGAGCAGCACGGAGAGAAGCAGAGCAGTGCCTGGCTCAAAGAGCTGCCGCCGCCGCCCGCCCCGTCGGTGCCCGCCCGCCCGCCCCGGGACCGCTGCGGGAAGGCCCGGCGAGCCGCCTCGTGTCCTTACCATTAAACTCTAGACACCCGGCACTGAGAGCGTTTGGTTGCGAAACTGAAACGGCAGGTCTTGGGGAAAAAAAAAAAAATAAAGACCCAAAATGGGGAGGGGGAGTAATCGAGCTCTCTTCCAAGTTGCTTCCAAAAGGAGTTAAAACCCTCGTGACATCGCCTCTCCGATGGGCGAAGGACCCTCAGGATGYAGAAGATGCAGAAGCGGCAGCAGTTAGTTGTTTGCTGGTTTCAGGGCAATCCACTCCAAAAAGAAAAAGAGAGACAGGCGGGGGAAAAAAAAAAAAGATAAAGGAAAAAGTTTGCAGGTAGCAGCACAGATCTGGAGTGGAGTCTACTAGGGAATGGAGAAATAGGGATGGAGCGAGATGTCGCCGGAGAACGGAGCGCTGGGGAAGAGGGAAGACAGCGAGCGAGCCCGGGAGGGAGCGGAGGCGGGAGCCGCGGGCTGGCTGCGTGCGATGTTGTCTTCCCCAGATCTCTCCCCTCACTGAGCGCCTTCAGCCTTCTTCTCTTCTTTTCCTGCTCGGTGGCTCCAAACTTGACCAGCYTTCCGCAGCCTTCCGTCTGATATGCAATTAGCAAGAAAATCTTTGCAAACACCCCGCTTCAGCAGGAGCCCTCTTCGTAAACATTTGCCTGCTTGTTACCTTAGAGGACGGGCAATATTGTTTGTTGCCCCCGTAGTGGTGTCCGGATTTTTATTCATGAATCAAATGCCTTTTTTTTTTTTTCTCAGTCACGTAATAATCGGGTATCAGAAAAGACGTCACCACCCCAATTCCTCAAGGAACACAGTTCTGTGTCGTCCTCAAAGATGAGCTTATCAGGAGTCATAAAGCTTCTCATAAACACCAACTCACACTTCCCACCCCCCCCCCCCCAAAAAAAAAATTAGAAAAAGAAAACCTAACAATCAAACAAACAGGCGGAAAACCCCCACCGCATAAACCTAAAAGGATGTTCTCCACGGTAAAGTTTTACCTGACGTGGGAAGGGACCAGGAGGCGGAAGAGGGTAGTTAGGGGTGGGGTGGGGGTCCCCGGTCTTGTCGGGCTTCCCCACCGCTTTGCTCCGGGTCTTTCGGCGGGGCCAGCTCAACCCACACGCAGCCCGGGGCCGCCGCTGGGCGCAGGCCCCCGCGGAGCCGCCCGGCTCTGAGCGCGCAGGCGGAGCAGCCCCGGCGTGGAACCCCCCACTTCCGCGGAGATTTGAGACTATAA